GAGAATTCCAGACAGGTACTATGCAACTCTGACATTCTCCTAGATTCCATTGTTGAACATTTGCCCTATTACCTGATTCACACACATTACACTTAAGGAATTGCCACACGAGTAGCAACCCCCTAGATCCCCAGATCTACCGATTGATCTGTAGTGCTACCTAACGGCTTGGACCAAATACACACACCTCTTTCGAGTAGAAGACGCACTTCATTGTTACACGACAGGAGGCGCGCTCAAGCGACAGACTCGTCGAATTTTCACACCAACAATATAATAAAAGCCAAATCAAGAAAAAATCTTTCAAACAGGTATTAATAATTAATTATTATCTATAAGAGCAAAACTAGTAATAATTTTTTTAATAATATTAGTAATAAAAAGATAAATAGGATTATAAAAAATAGTTTAAATTTTATTTTGATAAATTATAGTAATAAATTGTAAGCAATAATTTTTAATTTGAATTTTATAGATAAATAAATATTAAAAATAGTAATTTTTTTTTATTTTCAAAGTTATATTTAAAAATACAATTCAAGATAAATATTTAAGGCAATAGAATAGTTTATACAATATAATATAATATAATATATTATTTATTTTTCGTAAATATTTAATAAATAATATATACTTGTTTGACTATAAAAAAAAAGTTATTGTTAATAAAAAATAACAATAATTTAAAAAATATAATAAAAATAAAATAATAAAATAAAGCATATTTTTACTTATTACAATCTATTATATAAAATTTTTTTCTTAATTTCAGACTACTGTTATACACCGAAACCAATTCGCTTATTATATCGAATATTTATTTACAATATTTATTTTTTAAAAAAAATATTAATTATTCGATTGTAAACTTTGTGAATTTAAAATCGACCAAACAAAAATATATTGATTAAATGATATAATTGATTTTTAATAGAGGTGCTCTATATAAATTGTAAATCAAATACTGTATGATTTTGTTAAAACCGTAATTACAAATGTAAATGTTTTTTTTAAAAAATTCAAATGTACAAATAATATTTTTTAAATGAAATATGAAATAATTTTGCTTTACAAATTGTATTTAAACTATGTAGAAATATTTGTAAAATTATTCTTGAATAAACGATTTTTTTAAAAAATTAAGAATATATCAATTGACAAAAATTAATTTTCGAAAAAAGATAGAATTTTAATTCTAAAAAAATAAACAAAAAAATGCGATTATAAATTCTCGCATCATTTAATTAAATACAGTATGGTACAAATGTTATGAAGACTAAAAAAAAAAAAAAATTACATAATGATTTCTTTTTACATAACTTTTATCTGTTTTTTTTCGTTAACTTATACTCCTTAATCAATATTGACAACAATTATTAAATCAATTTTTTTTAGAAATATTGGACTTTTTAAAATAATTGTTCTTATAAAAAAAAAACATTATCACTGAGTTGGTTTGCTTAAAACCTTTATCTTTTTTCGTTTCAAAACGTTTACTTTCAATGTTCACAGGTACACATGCAATTATAGAGGAGTTTCTATATATTCGTTTTATAAGAAAATCGAATTATATTAACAGCTATCAAATCAAAATACTCTCAAGCACATTTAACAGGTTGCTTTCTTATCTCTCTATGAAACAATTTCTTATAACAGGATGAAGGATACAAAAAAATCACGTCTAAACCGAAGATTGAAAGAGTTTTACTGACATTCTACTAAACGCCCTACTTGATTATAAACTAAAACATTTTTGATGTATGCTCTTGCTTTCTTTCTCGCTGGTTGTGTAGTCTCACACCATCGTAACTCCAGGACACATAAGGTTTTTTTCTTGGAAGCATATTCGGCGATCACTTCCAAGTGTTCATCGTCAATACACTTGTAAAATCCCATGCACGTCAACTGAGCTTGACAGGTTTCCATCAAGAACATCTGTAACGCGTTGACCGAAAATCTCCAGGGAGTGAAAATGCTCAATTGATAAAGGTTACGTGGAATAATGATGCCCATCACAGGCAGGAAATGATCAACATCAACCACGTCTTCATCTTCCGAGTCATTGATTATTAAACTTTCGAGTTTCTTGCAAGAACGTAAAAGTTGATATAATTCGGGTAGTTCCACGTATTGTACTGGTGCATCGAAACGACGAATGTTTGGACAGTTCTCAGTAACTGTTTTTATAATATGCGATGAGGGATACCTACGTTCCCAATGGAGCGTTAGTTCTTGCAAGTGAATACCATTCACTGTGATCATCCTAATTATTACTAGAGGAGGAAATCTAGATTCAACAAGTACTAATTTTTGAAGTCGGTGGAAAGGAGTTGACGCTAATTCCATGATGTCCTCTTCGCGATAGGTCAACCAACTTTTAAATTGCAATACCTCCAAATTCTTTAATGCCGACAGCACACATAGTGGACCATTATTATCTATCTGGTTGTTTTTTAATTCCACAGTTTTCAAGGAATTACACAGATTTTCACCTTCTAATAACTCATTCATTTTTGGCCATTTCTTGCTTACGACCAAATGTTTTAAATTCTTCTGGGCTCTAATAAACGCGGAGACTATCTCATCATTTTCCCAAGAGCATTCGATCTTTAGATAAACTAAATTTGTGCAAACCTTAGAAGCAAAAATTAAATTTCTCTCAATATAGTCATCACACTCCAATGCTACTATTTTGGCCAAACACGAACGTGAAACCTTTTTGTGAAATTCAAGGTTAATGTAATCTCCCTTATAGCGTGATACTACCGAGATTTCAAGTTTTTTCAAATTTGAATGCCCCATGATGTGACCTATGAGAAACTCCAAAATGGTGGTAGCAGCGTTGCTAATTGATTCGGGGTCCTGAGGATGCACGAAATCATCAATCTCTTGGTCATTACACCAATCCTTGACCACACGATGTAGAACCCGGAAATTGAAGCTTCTGAGATATTTAACATAATCAAGGGTTGGATTGGTCAACACTAAATCTGGAAAAGTTTGACACAATTCTTTTATCCGAGTTTTCCTGTCACTTTCTAGACAACTAATATACACGGGAACGATTTTGCAGTGCGCATCACTCCATCGAGTCACAAACGGATATCGCCATAAAATAGGAACGACGATGCTATACCAGGTTCGATTCACCATCAAGCATGCATACAAGCTATCGATTTCGAGAAATTGGATTATTTGAGTTATAATCTCGGATAAATTAAATATTGAGGATGCCATCATGGATGAATTTTCTCTGTACGAAACGTGTCTTAAGAGATAGAATATGAAGATGATAAGTGAAATAGCGACAATTTAAATGATTCGTGAATCAACCATTTAAAATCTACTAACCAAAAACGTTAACAAAGGTAATCAAAAGATGATAAGATTTGCTGAATCATTGTGTAATGTAAATTTTTTTTTTGAACATCGACACTAATGTGGAAATAACTACATTATCACGTGACTTTACGATTTACGGATTAAAATTTGTTTTTTACCTTTATTAATTGTTAATTATTTCTTTTAATTTTTTTTTTAAAAAAATATATATAAATATTTCAAAATAATATTAAATAAAAATATAACTATTTTAAATCACTAATCTATTTATTTATATATAAAATCAATAATTTAGAAAATTTATTTATTTGTGATTATATATAAAATTTATTTATTATAAGTACATATTAATAAAAAAATATTTATTATCAATTAAATTTTAAATTTATTATATTTAAAAATTATAAGTTATATTTTCTCTTTTTTATTTATCTTCATTTCAATTCTTATATATTACATATTGTATCTAAATATTTTACAAAAAAAAACTAATCTAATAAAATTAAACATTTAATTATTTTTATAATCATTAATATAAAATATTTGAAGTATTTTAATAAAATTAAAATTTTAATAGATTTTGATAGATTTAATTGATAGTACATTTATTTTATTTTATATTAAAATCAAATTCAAACAATAATTTATAAAAATTTTAAAAAAACTAGATAATAAAAAATAATACAACTTTTGTTATTTAAAAAAATTATCAAGAATAAATAAATAATTTTTTTAAAAAACTCTTTCTTATAAATCCCTTTTCTGCAAAAAATTTCCTTTTTTAGAAACAGGCAAAATTCAAAGGAAAAAAAAAACAACAAGTGCTCTTGGGAGCCCTTCTCCCAAGAACAAACCCCTAAACCTACTTCATATTCTCTTGGACATCGTTATAGTCAACCCAACTGATCGTTTATTCTCTATAGTGTATAAGGAATCTAACTCAAGCAACATACAAATTACTGAACCAGCATGAAATGTCTCTATTTCTTTCTTAACTGACTTCCCCAAATACTGGATTGTATCCTTCCTAAATCCAAAAAACATCAACAACCCTTCTTCAGTGGATACAGTGTTTGTCAGTTTCAAACAATTAATAACCAGCTCCAGTTCTTCATCACTCTCACACATGCAAGCCTTCCTATCCATCAATAATCAAAAAAGCAACACCCAAACCAATCTTAATAATTTTTTCCTCTATCAGGAGAGGAATAATCTTGTCCCAAACATAAGAGAGACCATTGCAAGGAAAGTTCTAGACAGTAACCTCAATTATACTCTCCACCTCTTTTGAAATCAAATCAATATAACCAATAGCAGAAACAAGTTCAACCTCGAGAAGATATACAATGCACCATATCATCCACATCTCAATACACCAGTTCAGGATAACGACCTTGAAAACTCAGCTCTCTACTCTCTTCCAGTTTCCAACAAAAAAACTACAAGCTCTCAAATCCCAAAAAAAAACCCCAAGCAGCTCACCCCCACCTATCTATCAACAGATCACAAACATTTCTAATTCAGCGCCTACCAGTAACGCAACCTTTGCATCTCATGCAACTTCTGCAGCTCCAGAAAGCACAAATTCAGTCAGCGCATCAAGTAACGCGACATCAACCCCAAATGACCTTCAAAGCACAGGTGACATGATGCAAGTGGATGATCACCACATTGCAGTTGCTACGAGTAACAATTATGACAAATCCGGTAGTACAATCAGACCAACCAGCCCCTGTTCTAACAATGACATATCAATGGTATCATTGGATTAACCAATTTCTATAGGAAATTCAAGCTCCCTAGCAGAATTCAACTGTCAGGTGCAGGAAGAGCTAGTCAACATACAAGGAAACATACCTCTTACTGAAGTGACTCAGCAAACACAAATCCCTGACCAAACAAGCAGAGATGAACTTCTAAATGAGACAGACTGGTCATATGAGGAACCTTTAATCAGAGACCTTGCAAGCTCCCCCAGTCTCATCTCAATTGAAAACTCATCAACAAGTTTACAAGTGACACCACCCCAAGTGCCAAAGAGAATAGAATAACCGCAATTCTCTTGGAAAGTGATCCAAACTTCCACCAACCAATAAATGGTCTCTATAAAACTCAAGCAGCCAATCCAGGCAAACCATTTGTCAACAAACATGATACAATAATTGACTTAGCATCACAACTGTCAGCCTGTCATATAAATGCAAAGAAAGTAACTGAGCTGTTCAAGAATATTAAAACTACTCCAAAAGGGTTAATTACTCAAGAACCCCACTTTGCAATCTTCACCAAAATTCTCCTGAGAGACAGAACCTTCTTCAGATCATTTATCAAAAACGAATTAATGAAAGGAAACCACCAAATTGAATATGAGACACTGGAAACAAAAGCTCATGAGAACTACAAAAAAATTAATGATGTCAACTACATTAACAGAAGAATCAAAAGGAAAATCAGATTGATATTAAACTCATCACTTTTTGTAACCTGCCTAAGGTTTACTGATCTCAACAAATTCAGATTCTTTGAAATAGCACAGATCCTGGAATATGGTTGCAACTATTTACTGAGAAATGATGATAATTACATTGACTATATTGAATTGTTAGATCTTATTAAGGAAATGTTGTACGAATCACTTCCAGACCTACCAATCATGCCAGATCAGATCCCCTCCAACATAATCATAAAACTCCTATGCCCACTTTCAATCAAGAAAAAATCATCTTTTTCTTCAATTATATTAATTCTCAAGGTACACTACAAGTTTTCCCAACTCCCAGATTCATATTTCTTCAAATTCTCAGAGCTACCAGAAGACCCAAAAGATCTGAATGAAGAAACTAATTACTTGTTCCCCATCATTGAGAGAAAAGATCTCAAAAACCTCAGAATGAGAATAAAGGAATTGGCCAGATATTATGAAGTTTCTGCAAAACTTCCTAAGTTATTCTTTAACTTATCACTACCTAAAATTCCCCTTCCAGCCTCATACAAATTGCTACCTGCACACTTAGCGACCTACTTCCCACATAACCCACTTACAATAGACACAAAAGAGTTGATCTGAATCTTAAGAAAAGAGTATAGCCTCAAAACTCTGCCACTCGATTACTATAAGTTTAAAAGGCCACTTCTCTTCTCTCCTAACCCATTGCTAGATAAACTGGATATGGCACTTCCAGTGCAATTTAAAGAAAGTATAGAGATCCTTATAAAACTTTTGCAAAGGGACTTCAAATTCAACTTGCCCCTGGATCCCCAATGAATAGACTTTTCAATATCACAAACTGATAAAAAAAAACTTCTGGCCAAAATCACTGATTTAGACACATCTATTGGAATTAAAGATCATATTAATAGACATTCTGAAGACTTCTTAGCAATCATTCGTAAACTGCACAAGAAATATGAATTTTGCATAATCCCTGAGAACTGGTTTCAAGTTCCTAAGCCTCCTCTACCTTCTATAGAGGAACTCAACAAAATATGCGAAGAAAATCTCTCGAAAGTCAGATTCCCACTAAAAGATAATGAGAACCTACCTGTAACAATAGCCCAACTGCATAAAAAATATGCCTTTAAAAGGCTCCCTGATAACTACATCGCTTCCGAAGATTTACCAGAGCCTGGTTTTGATCTTGTACCCTTCATCTGTTAAAATGATAAGTCCGCCCAACTCTATCCATTCCCTACAAATAAATACAAATCAAAATCCCCTATCAAAAAAACAAATCCCACCTATCAAAAATCTTTTGAACATTTCAACTCTCAATACAGTCGGTTTAAATGATACCTCTAAACTGACAGCTCTCACACAAGATCTTGCAAATAGTAGATCAATCTTATGTTGCTCTAAAACAAAAATATCACATAGAAATTGCCTTCTAAAGAAATGTAACAACTGTATTATCATCGCAAGCTTCTCCTCAGACTCTTCTAAAAATAGTGCATGCCTAATAATTGGCGAGGACCTGGTTAATCATATATTTAGAACATTCACAGAAGATGAATACTGGTGTGCAGTTCATCTCAAGTTCAAGCCAAAAATCGACCTAATCGTTACTGCTATTTACCTCTTACATAAGTCAAAAGAGCACAAAATAGCAACAAGATTATTAATCAAATACATTAGAAAATTCGGAAACAATATATACCAAATTATGGCTGGTGACTTCAACTCTTATCCAATAGGCACCCTAGCGATAAATGCCCCAACATCAAATTCCAAAAGAAAATATACAACTACATGCACAATTGGATTGACATTGTCAAGGTACTTGACAAAGAGCATGATTTTACTCATTATACTCAGACAAGCATTTCAAGAATTGATCAGATTTGGTGTACTAACTATCTGGGCTCTAAAGTTCTGGAAGCCAAAACATTTACTTCATACTCTATAATCTCTAACCACAAGCAAGTCCAAGTAATCTTCGACTGGTTTGAATACAAGTCAGGAATACAAGGCTGCCAGACCAAAGTCTTCGATTGGAAGAATGTGTTATCACAACAAAAGAAGAATTTTAGTGAAGAAGTTGATCTAAGGATTAACATAGCTGACAACTGCTCCTAATCAATATTCAACAAAATTTTGATAAGTGCAGCAAAAAACAATCTGCCATTAGTCAAACCTCTACTGCACAGAGCTAATCAGCAAAGGACTGGCCAGCATTTCCGTCTGCTAAAACAAATCAAAAGACTTATTTCAAGTATTAAAAAGGGGAAAAACACAAAAGCACAAGGTGCAGGAAGTAAAATTCCAAAGAACATCAATACACTGTACCAAAAAATGTTCAACAGCACACCAGTATCAATCAAAATGCTTAATTGCCTAAGAAGCATCTTAATTAAAGAAAGATTGCACCAAATAAAATAACAGCGAGCAGATCAAATCC